CAGGATAAAGCACAACTATTTGCCAACAAAGATGCTGTCCGAACCAAGTTTCCAATCTAATTGTCGCAGCCCTGAATAGTTGCGGATTAGTTGATATAAGTCGTTAGATCGGATTAATTAGTTGTGATATAAATTGCAATCTATTCTTTGGCAAAGTATAATTTAGTTTCTGTTTTTTAATGTATGTTATTACAGTTTTCGATAATGATTTTAAGATAAGATTCACTTCAACGTTATCAATAGACTTTTTGCTATAATATTAGTTTCTTTTATCTCTGATAAGGTATCACGAAATTAAGGATTTTATATTAAGTGCAAAGAAACCCATATGATATGAAAAATGTTGTACTTTTTCGATACCTTCTACGAATATTTTTTAAAGAAAATAAAAAAGCGAATTGAAATAAGAAATATATTTTTTTTCATCCCCTTATTAATATAACAATTCCAAACAAAACCTACAAAGAATTCAATTTTCAAAATGAACTGCGTTTTTTATAATAAATATGTGTTCAAAGTAAGGTTTCGTGTCTTAACGATCAATATTATAATTGATGTTCCTAAATTGTCTATTTCAGATTAACATGCACCAAAATCAAAATATGTATAAGCCAAAAAATGTCAAAATCAAGTTATTACTTTAATAATAAAGTTCTGATTATTAAAGTAATAACTTGATTTACACTAAAAATACACATAAAAGAAAGAAAATCTTTGTGTTTGACTGATTCGTTGACAATGATATATGATATATTTGGAAGAAATTTTTTTTTTTCAAAACTCTTCATTAACTTACTCACTAATTGAGTGAACTAATTAAGTTACATAAATAACAAAAAATATTTACGAATAATGTCACCAACTGTCGCATTTGTTTATTTCGGTTTCGGAATGGTTGTTTTGGGAATAGTATGGAAACACAAAAAACTGTTGCTGACGAGGTAAGTTGTCAAACGTGGAAGCCAATATGTTCATCCGGCCAACATAATATTTGGCATTTCCAATAAAAAAAAAATACACTATCGTTACAAGTGGACCTGACAAATAGTTGTCAAATATGCTTTTACCTGAAAAAATACATTTGATTTCTATATACGTATTTTTTTTTCAACTCGATTTCCTTTACTACATCGAAATTAATGGACTGATATCAATCTCTTGTTAATTTTTTATTAACATATTTAACGTGAGTTTTAATAAATGAATAAACTGCGAATATTTTGTTATACACAATTCATCCTATAGTACAATTATAAAACAGAACCCGCTAATCGCTACCGCTTGTCACCGTAACCGAACCATAAATGTTGACAGTTTGAAATGTGAATGGGACAGAGTGACGTACGAGGTTGCATCAATATAAAGGGAACCACTCACTCAACACCAACAACGAGTAATATTTCGATAAACACCTTTAAGTGAATTATGTATTTTTTTTATTTTGTATGAAAAGTACATTTTTTCATATTCGATGTACAATTATAGATTGTATGACGAAAAGTATCTAGTCGTAGGAAATGAAAAGACATTCAATTTTAAGTTATAATCACTATATATAAAACAATTATAGGTGCATTTAAATAATCATAATATTTATATACACCTTCGTCTCGACTGAATCCGGTGAGCTCTTTGATGGCACTAATTAATACAAATAAGCATCCGCTTAAACTAAAATAACTTTAAGTATTTCAGTATAAAATTTTAGGACCACAATAAATGACAACGCCACTTATTTATGGCGTTTATAATAGTTTTTAACGTAAACGCCGGGAACTTTAAATAGAATTAACCGACCAGATTACAAGATCTGTCTTTACTTACGTTACGTTTGGGCGATACGGACACGATGTTATTGTTCATATCAACGAAGACACTTGTATACTTTAAAAATAATCCGGACGTGAGTTCAAAATATAATGGTGATCCGGAAGATTGGTTTAAAGAATATGTTTTGTTTGGGATCATTAACGACTTCGAAATGATAGATGGCTATGAAGATGGTTTTAATGTACAGAAAGAGTTCTCTACAAACCATGAAATGATAATGACGCTTCAAATAAGTTATTAATATTTTTAATTACATATCTGTGTACAAATGTTTTGACAGGTCACCATTCTATGGTCTCTGACCCTATAAGAGCAAGAAAATATTAACTATTGAGGGATAGTAAGTTTTGCATTCAATTTTACTTAAGTACTGTTTCAAACAATACATTTCAGGGAATGATTTTGTTTTTTTCCTCATATTAAGAAGTAGAACGGCAGAACTGTATTATTTTACTTTTATATTGAAAAATAGTATAAATGTATATCGTATTTAATTTAAACATCGTTTATATTTCCATCACAAACAAAGACCAGCAAATACTAGATATTATAAAAAAATATCTTGTATCAAATTTTTAAACTATAACATATTCCTTGGTTAGTTAATATTTTGTGTAATTTTACTTCATTATAATGTACTCTTCTAATTCTATTACCTCCAAGTGACATAAAAATAGGTGCGTCATATGATTTGTGATAGCGAACGTCTGATTTCAATCGCTTTTTGTGTCAGGGGTAGTTATTTATGGAGTTTACGTCTTACACATTATGCAACTGCAATTCATTGTATACAGGGTGACTGGTGAATTACTATCGATACTTGAGGACGTGATATTTGACGATCATATATGACAAAATAAAAATTAATATAACATAAATATTAATAAACTTCTAAGTAAAGTTAACCAAAAGTTATGTAATTAATTACGAATCGTATGAACACCCTACAGATTAGGTATACACACACACTCACACATACGCGCGCGGCTACGTAGTGTTGTATCAGCACGCCGCCGCACGCGTCCACACTTGGAACACTTGGAACGTGTCAACACTTTATTTATTTATACGGAAATTTGGTCAAAAATTAAGTACCTATTTTTTTTACATAATTCGAATGAGAATCATGTACCGAGTATTCTCCTTAAATATTGATAGTAATTCACCAGTCACCCTGTATATATAAATCATAAACAAAAAATGTTGTTATTAATAAAAGATTGTTGATGATAAACAAAAAATATATAATACGATTCAAAATGTAATTTATACACAATTTAAAGTAACGAATTTGACAAGAATTTCGTTTTTTAATTTAATTTATATAAAAAGATTACGTAAAAACATTTAGTCGATTGGAGATAATAAAACATTTTTTATTTAAATATCTCAGAGTTTTTAATACATTGAAATTTTAAATGATTTTTTAATTCTATTTGTATGTTGGATATCATGATCAAATTATTGCAAGATTGAAGTTTTTATAACAATAATGTTTCCAATATAATCAGAGTTTGGCTGTATAAGGCATGTATAAATTATGTATATATTATTTGAAATATTTTTATTACCAACATAACGGAAACTTAAAGTTATCCCCATAGATGTTGAAACCCCACGAGAGTTGTTAAATGTCGCTGCATCTTAAATCACCGCTTTAATTACTTAAGCATTTCTTAGAAATACTTTCTGTCATTCTGTGATTAATTATATTTCAACTTAATGCTTGTGAAATTTCTAAATTTATTTGTTATGTGATGACTGTATGATATACAACAATATATATAAGTCATGTCATCAGCCTATCAGAAGTCCACTGCTGAGCAAGGCCTCTTTCACACATGGAGAAGGTTTGAGCATTAATCACCACGCTTGCTCAAGACGGGTTGGTGATTTCAAACTTATAATTGTGAAACTATAAGTCCAGGTTACCTCACGATGTTTTCTTTCACCGTATGTCAGTGATGTCTAAATACTCTCAGAAAGTACATATGAGGCAACGAGAGTCAGGCCCCTTAACCACTAGGCCACCACTGACCACCATATATAAGTATTGTAAGTCAATTTACTATTTACCAAACTAATAACAATATCTCAAGCAAAAAAAAACTCACTGAAATGAAATGAATGTATGTGTGTTATACGATTTACGTATACTATATACTATAACTATAATGAAATAAAAACACAAGGATTCGTAAAATATAAAAATACTTGTAATTCCAAATAAAAATGAAATTTTCAGTCGCAAGAATTTTATAACTGCACACTTTAAAGTAGGTTGAGTACCAAAAGATGAAAAATAAGGTTAGAAATAAATTAAACTCCTTTAACATTTAATTATTATTATATTATGTAATATTAATAAATAAAAAAATTGCTGTTGTTTTCTTAGAACATTACAAGCATTGGTAAATAATACATATTTGAGGTAATAAGAACTTCCATCGAAAAGGTGAAATTATAGATTTTGTTCACTAATAATTTAAACAATGTTAACAAATTAATCAAGACAAATTTTAAAGTATCTTCTTAGCAACCTTTTTTTAAGTTGGCAACATCGCTTCTCACACTTTTTTGATGCTTTCCCTTATTCCAGTTCAGTTTGTATGCGGCCAACAAATTCCTATCCTACAGTTACATAGAAAATTTATCGGGCGCTTAAAGTCAATTGAGTTTATCACCGCGGTAAATAAACCGACTTAAAAGAACGCTGATTGTCTTGTGATTTCAGCTCTGATCCCTTTGATATTCTCTACGTCTGAAGTATTTTACTTTGTGGTAAATCAGTGATGTTTTGTAGTTTTTTTACCTTTAGATCTTGTTTATTTGTTTATTTTCTCAAACATAAATTAAATACTAGGATTGCTTCTGTTCAAAGTCTTGAAACAAAGAGAGGATTCTTTGTTTTAAATAGTTTTATACTACTTTATGGAATGTTTCGTTTAATGTTTGAAAAAAATTGTTAAATAGATTTAAATAACAAATTTCATTACTGATTTTCAATCCTAAATAATCCAATTTAAGCATTGTGATATTTATTAGGTACATTATTCGGTAATCAAACTAAATTAAATAAGAATTTATTACATAATTAACAGTAATTTATATCATATAAGAAAATGTCAAAGCTATAAACAGTAACAATGCGCTAATTTTAATAGCACAACCATTAGAGTAATATCCTATTTGTCTAGCTACCCTATCAATCTCGATGAGGGAATCCAGAACTTCTTCGCTGTTCGGAATTATTTGTTCCGGTGGTAAAAGAAAACCATACTGCCCCTCATCTCTAAGTTCGTACAGAAACACCAGTGGTATACCAGCACCTCCCTTCGCCCAGTCAAAACCGGTTCCAGAAGCTGGATCTAACATATTTTTTCAATATTATTATTGATTATCACATATGACAATGACAATATACATATTATATTCGCATGTAATTATAAACGTGATATACAATTGTATTAAAAGTAATTATAAAATTGAATGTCAAGTTATTCTTTTTAAACCCCGACGCAAAAACGACGGGGTGTTATAAGTTGTTTGTGTGTGTGTGTATGAGTGTCAGTGTGTGTGTGTGTGTGTATGAGTGTCAGTGTGTGTGTGTGTGTGTGTGTGTGTGTGTGTGTGTGTGTGTGTGTGTGTGTGTGTCTGAGGCAATGTAGCTCCCAAACGGATGATCTGATTTTAATGCTTTGTTTTTAAAGGTACATATATCCATTGAAAGTGATCTTAGCTATGTTTGGTGGAAATCGGTTCAGGTCTTCAAGGTCATTAGATCGTTTCTTAGATGTGATAGAAATCTTACATGCACAGTTTGCTTGCAAGCATATGTGGGAACTGATATTTGAGACAGTTATGTCTCCTGGAACTGACGTAACCTTGGACTGCCATTTAGTAAACCCATTAACTTTGGGCTTCTTCTTGTTTTAATAATTTATAGTTATTAATTTCAAAACCCAACCCAAGAAGTGTGCGTGCGTGTCTGTGTGTGTGCGTGTGTGTGTGTGTGTGAATATATATATATTATATATATATATATATTATGTGTGTGTGTGTGTGTGTGTGTGTGTAGCTAATCTCTGTTAAAAGAAATACTTACATAATATATCAAGCGAAGTCCCAACAGCGTACGATGTGTTATGACGTTCTGTTAATTTAGCAGCTCCTTTTATTGCCATTTCAAACTGCGATGGTAAAGTTCCAATTATTCTTTTTTATTTAGTTAATAGTTTTCTTGGTAATCAATAATTCAAAAAAAATCAACAACAAAAAAAAATAAGCAATGCATTTATTCGTCACCTACCAGGTCTCCATAATTGGACACTTCAAGGACGTCAGCCCCTCCAACATGACTGTACGGGACCAAGATTAATTGAGAATAAGAATGCATTCCGAAGTAATACATAACGTTGCCCTCCTCTTTCAATCTTAATACATGATTTGCTAAGGCACTACTTTCTGGTTCGGAAAATGCCCTTGGTCCAGCAAAAGTATTAGAACATGGATTTTGTGATGCTCCGATCTCTAAAAGTTGATTTAATTTATATAATATATGATGCGCCAGGCAATAAATTTATGAAAAGATTTTATAAATAACAAATATTCGATTTAATCGTTTACCACATTCTATTATTCTAGAATTCTACCGTAGCGAATTGTCATTGAATGTAAAAAAAATTGTTTAATTATGTTTTTATTGATATTTGTTTTGATATAAACTTTTATAACTGTTAAAGTTAATATTGTTCATATACACATATATAAACATATATATACCCATCCATAGATAACCGAAGTTTCTATTAAGATCAACACCGTTGCTCATGTCATCATCTGTATTTACACCGCAGGATGTGAAATTAGCTCGGCTTCGGTTTTTTCTCCACATTCTATTCTAAAATTAAAAATCGTCTTATTAAATAATTATTATACAACAAATTGATATTTCTAAAACTACTGAATATAAGCCATATATACGATTGAATTACTTATTACACTTATATGTACTTACACCGTTAAATGTATATATGAAACCATCTGGATTAACAATAGGGAAAACGTGCCAAACAATATTTTCAGCTAAAAATCGTATCTTTTCGTCTCGGCTAGTAAGAAACTCTTTTACAATCCAAGTAAGAGTAACGGGTGTTATCCATTCCCTAGCGTGTAGGGTTCCTTCAAATACCCCAATAATTGGATTTTCTTTCTTTTTATAATCAATTTTCATTCCTATAATGGGTCGATTTTCAACACTTCTTCCGATGTCTACTAATGACACAATATCGGGATACTCCGCGGCGGTTTCATTCATCCAGTCATAAATCTCTTCAAAATTTTGATAATATGTCCAATCATATTTGGCGGAGCGTCGAGATGCTCTTGACGGCTTTTTTAACTGATCGTCTATTAAACTGTAAAGAAGTTAAACTCAAAAACATTTCTCTTAAATAATGAAGAATTTAATAAAGTTATATCTTACGTAGTAGTTGAAAACAATGAAATAAATTTACCTTTGTACATCATCTATGAATAAAAATGGTTTTAGTCCAAGATTCGCCATATACTTTTCAAATTTATTCTGTTTATCTGGATGAACCATAATCCTTACATCTCTTCCAACTTTTCCGACTTCCATCCAAAAAAGAAACTCATTTTCTTTCTCAACTTTTTTAAGAATCTCCAATTCATTTTCTGACTCTGGTGTTATTTTGTAAACTTTGTAATCTTTATAATTAATATATTCTCCACTTATGCAAACTACTGTAAATAAAATAATAAATAATTTTAATTCCATATTGACGTCTGCCTAGTGCTTATCTACACACATTTATGTCTCACTTCAATAAATAATTATCAAAAATTAACAGTTTGTTGTATATCTCTTTATCTATAATTTATGAACATTACAATATTATCAAGAAAAATGTACATAATGTTATCTAAGACTTTCATGAGTACTCTTTTAAATAAAACTTATATTTCCGAATGTGTATTTTTTTACTTTTTCGGTTACTTTGCAGCAAATCTAATCACGGGCAGACGACATATGAATGTTTTTCAGTTGATTTTATTATTTGTCATCTACCGGCAACGTCATAATCATTTCTTTGAATGCAAAACCACTGAAATTGTATGGGTTATCTAAATTCCATAAACAAAATGTTCCCTTGTACCCTATTTTAAGCCAGATTGATTCACCAACTTACAATCTGGCCAAATTTCTTTCAAAGATATTATCGACACTCCGAAACCACACAAAATCATTTGTTAAGCATTCCTACTAGTTTTTTTTATTATATAAAACTTCTAAAATTTACAAACAATGACAGTATGTTCAGTTTCGATGTATACTCATTATTCAATAGTGTTTTCCTGTTCTTAACTGAATTAATATGGTAAGAGGTAAATTAAAGGATAACAATATACATATCTTGAAAATAATCATATTTAAACATGTGAAATGGTTAATTGTATATATGTAAATAATACTCAGAATCAAATAGGAAATACGAGAATATGTATAATGGGAATACTTGGAGAATTCAATTGGAAATACGAGAACGGACTATCAACGACTTTTTTAAACGCCATCGTAGAATACAGTCTATTTTTATAATGCTGACTAAAATAAGACAAGCCAACCTAAAAGAGACAAAAAAAGATGACAAATATTAAAATCAGGCTTATTGGGCATTTGCTATGACTAGACACTATAACTCCCGAAGATAAGTTTATCTTCTATTCTAGGTAGATCCTCCTATTTCTTTAAATACTGGAGCCGAAAAATGAATAACATCAGTTTCATTCCAGTTCCATAATAAACTCCATAAGTGTGTAAGTCTGGTTTGTAATCTAAAAACTCAAAACAAAAATTATCCTCACAATATGATAAGAGTATTATAAAGTATTATATATTATCTTGATTGAATCGTTTCAATTTATATTATCATACAATTTTTTCAACAACTACATACTTATATCTATAGATAATTTTAATTCTAGAAGTGTAACCAGGTCTCATTATAGTCAATATACTATTATAATAAGAACCATATACATATGTTTGAAATTCTATGTTGAAAAAAATAATAAAGCTTTCTATTATATTTATTTAATATTTAAATTATAGTAGATACAAAGTGATTAAAAACCTTGGAAACAAACAACACAGTAGGCTAGAATAAAGGCTGCATTATTTCCCAGTCTTATCCATTCCCAGCAACACTTTCATGATTTCTAAATTGTTAGAGACAATCCGTCCTAGTGGAAGTAGGAAAACGTACACCAAGACTCTTAGCTCGATTAGAAAGCTAAATAGGATGTCTGCATTTTTAAACGAATCCTAATTTGTGAATCCCGAAGTTTCAGGAATTGTTTAAACATTTTAAAAGCAGTATTTTGTAGGTGTTTCTTCTGTATTTTTTGTACATAAAAAGGACATGTCAAAGACTAACAATAGCAAGTAAATTTTATATAAGAATATCAAAAATATATTTATTTGTATACCATGAAATTTGAATGGAAATTAATCTAATTAAAATAAATGTGTAAAGAAATTATCTAAGCTTATGGTAATGAAATCTTGTAATGTCTTATGGAATATTGAATTGCTATTGTTTTATGCAGGTCAATAAATTAAGTATTTTATACAAAACTATTGTTATCTTATAAGTTTATGTAGTTCGAACGTGATCGAGATATTTCCTTAAATAATTGATTTAAATATTATCTCATAATTTGTATAACGTAAAAACATGGTTATATGAATTAAATTACATTTATTTTTCTACAGAAGCTTAATTAATGAGCGAAACTACAAAATTTTCAGATCCAGAAGCAAATAAAACAGTACATTTATAAAAAATATGTTTATTATAATTTTAATGAAAATACAAACATATTTAATAATATTTATAGTTTTCCAATTATTAAGGGTGCGTTTCACAACCACGAGAGGTTCCAGGAAAACTACGAAACTTACTTATAGTATATTATAAGAATTACATTTTAAAACTTATAACCTACACATAAGACTACATGACTGTCCCGATGTTATCATAGCAATGATATTCCATTGCTTGTGTGGTGTCAGTTATCTTCTGGTTCACCCGGCTTGGTGTTCGTTCCTCGGAGTCAGCAACATATTTCACCCATAAAACGATGGTGCCCCGGAGATGTTCATTAATTTTTCATATGTAGCGTGTACGTAACATTCCTTAAAATAACTATTTAATTCATTATATTTCTTATTTAAATGTTTTAAGATTATTTTTCTTTACCTTAGATGCTTAGCATTTCGATAAAATTAAATTATTATCAACTGAGAATGCTCCTCTGATACTATTCAGATTTCATTTATATTCGTTTCTCATTTACAGGATTTTTAGTAATTTTTCATGTACATATTTTTAAAAGAACTACACTGAAAGAAAAAGCTAATGAAGTTTGTATATCGTAAAAACGATAAACAAGGAATACAATTTAATTTCTTTGAAAAATTAATAAAAGTTTGTTACCACATATGTAAAACATTTTTTATGAAATGAAACAGTTCTTTACAATAATAAAGTACTCGTAGTTTAATCCGAAAAATATTAGTATTCTTTAAATGAATACTCGCGAAAGCCTTATATCTCATTAAGTAAAACATAATTCCAGTACTTCTTTATTTATTTTTACGCTTCAACTATAAAAATATATCACACAATTGAACCATAGCATACAAAAATTTATTTAGTTTACTTTGACTTTAGTTCATAGTATCTCTGTAGTTCTAAACTATAGTCTTATTTACACGAAATGTTTACAGACTCAAGCTCGAAATGACGCCTTTTTGAACATACATCGAGCTCTAGTAATTTTTATCGTATCCTAAGCTTTAAAAATTAAAATCGCATGCTTAATTTGAACATTTCCCTAATTTTTAAATATATCTTTCACTGAGAATAACCAGTGGTATACCATAACAAAGTATTAAATTTATATTTTTAAAGTTATTTCAAAGTTATATTTCCCAAGTAATAAGGATCAAAGTATCCAGTTGAGTTACATTTAAAAAAAAAATTGTTCGTTTGAATCGGGTCAGAGTTAATTTATTCCTAAGTGACGATAAAAAATTCCGAGGGCCTTCTCATTACTTTTTAATTTCTCGTCATTTCTAATATTATGATTCATTGAAAATTTACCCACAGTTTTATGCTGATTTTATAGCTATTCATTTGAATTGTGCCATCAAGCTTTACAATTACGATGTTCTAAAAGTAATTTGAAAAGTATTCACGATTAAATAAGATTTTCACATACGGATTCCGTGAACATGGTTACAAAAAATTTATAGATTGAAATGAAACTAAGTTTTCCGAATATAACTCGTTTTTATTATTTTATGTCTACATGTTCCCGACATTTCGATTACTTTTCAGCATCCGTTATCATGGGCAGACCAGATAAAAGTGTCTGTCAGTTTGTCTTGTTATTTGTCATCTATCTCAAAAGATTTCTTAATGTTCTAGTATTCTGATCTGAGGTCTTGTACATAGTTTCGTCACCAAACAAGGATTTTTAATTTTTATGAGAGGATCCTTTGGGTTAAATAATTGCCAGCCGAATTCTCTAAATCCAAAAAAGTTTTGAACATGTACATTTTACATTCTAAAACCTTAGACATCATTAAGTTAATAGATACTAATGATATTTTTTGTAAAATGAGTCTATTTCTTTCTGTTGATGTTACTTTATATAATACAAAAAAGAGTAAAAATGTTTTAAAATTATTTTATATTCCGTATTAAGAGTTAATGAAAACTGCAAATGAAACTGCAGGAAAAGCGATGATATTTGCTAAGTGTGAAAATGTCGCTAAACAAAAACGAGATTTCGCTTTTAAGTACTTTTTATATGGTCATGTTGTGATCATCTCTATTATCGGATTATAAATCCTTCATAAAAAATCTCAAATGATATTAACAATCCTTATTTTCTATACATATTTTTAGATTTTTTATGCCAAAATATATAACTTTATTGCTTATTGCGATTTCACTTAAAGAGTTCTAATATTATTGTATTTTGTTTTAGGAGTAACACACATTATATTTTCTATGACATCATTGTCAGATATTCTATAAGAGATTAAACGAAATGCTCGATAATAAACATGAGAGTACTAGCGATACATAATAGTTCTTGTTAATAATAATATTTTGAACTTAGACAATTTTTTGCAAAAATGAACTTTACGTTTAAAATTTGTATGTTATTCGTTATGAGAACAACGCATCCATGTGTAATTAATTTGCTTGTAAAACATATCGTGTTAAATGAGAAAATTAATTATAGTAACCGAATCATTAATTTAATATGTGAACCGTCGGTTGCTGTACCCAATAAATAATACGATTAAAATTATATTACAAAATTAACTTCAATAACACATAGAAAGGAGTTGTCTTGCAGAGATATCACATTGTTTATCGTCAAAAACAAGTGTATATAGTTATTTAGGAATCAGTCCTGAAAATGTTAGCGGTTAGCTTTTATGACGTCATCACGGTCGTAAACGTCATTACCGCCTATTCCATTAAGATGGCGGAAAATTTTAAAAAAGAAAAAGTGAATCATTTGTATAATAAATAG